GTGTAACAGTTACCTAAAGTCCTATTTCCATCACAGGTTACTAGGAATAAGTGCTCCTAGGCCAAAATGAAGAAGACGATGATAAACAAGATTTGCGGTAGATTTTACAATGCAGTTCATCAATAACAAATATTTATGTTAAGTCAAAAGTATTAAGCATACCATTATACTTTATTATTTGCTATATCTTTACCGTAAGTCGTTATTAGGAAAGAAACAATAAGTAATTCCTGTAAATTCTACTACAAAACATAGAACTGGCTAAAGTTTTTAACTAACCAGTGGTGCTGGCAGCGGGTATAAATTGAGAGTCCAACAAAAACCACAGGCTCGATTTTGCTCAAACAGTACCAGGCAACTTAAACTGCCATTCCAACGGTTAGGAATTCAATATTATGTTCGAATTGAAATTTAGATTTCCCTACTGGATAGTAGAAGACTTGTAATTTGTAATCTGTGAGCGGAATTACTAAGAGAATAGAATGAAAATAGTTTTACATTATTTATAAGTAATTTTGTCTGATGAATCTATCTTTTTTAAGTGTTGGCATAAAATACATAGATTAGCAAATACCTATTTATCTTACCATTAAGTTAATAATATAAATATAACATCACGCCCTTTTATCCCTGCACATTACGGCACTTAATGCCCCTGTACAATGTAACACCCACTTTTCATTATTTATTTTATGACTTCCATGTAATAGGAAGTGAGCCTATTGCCATATACCGGGCACATTTCAAGACTCCGTGCTAGTTCTGGGATTTTTAAAAACCCATTAATAGTTTGCCCGACCCGGGAATTAAGTTAATCTTAAATCCCAAAGCCAAGTATTTAGTAACATGTTTCACACTAATAAAAGTAACATAACTTCGTAAAATAATCTTTCATCGTAAAACGTACTTAGCTATATACAAACAACAATTACAATAATATGACTAATAAACAGACAAAAAACAACAATGAACCCGAAAATAATGAATAAATAACAACATGAAAAAAACATGTCACATAAAAATTATATGAAAAAAGGAACATGACACGCAAAGTCGTGGTTGCAAATTATAGTCGACAGTCACACACAACAGATGCGCCGCCATTTTGTTTACGTAACCTCTGCGGATAGTTTGCACCTTGACATTACCCCGGATATCAGCTACAAAGAAAGTGAGAACCTTGAAGATTGCGACTAAAATGCAGAAGTTTTTTTACTATCGTTTTGACTGGTTAAACAGTAATCTGGTTGATAGAGACAAACTATTCACACAGGCAGAGGTGCGATCTTCTGTGACTCTTTGACCATTATCAATGAGCTGGTCGTTTCATCAAACGCATAGTTACTAATATTTACGTTTGGATGGATTTGTATTATGTATTTATACTTACGTCGTCAAAGTAAAAAATAAAAAGTATAACAAACACGCTAAACTAGCTAGATAATCAAAATATTTCACGATCTACGTCTTGAGTCGTAACCATTCCTCAGTTCTTGTCAGTACAGTAGAAACTATTCAAAAATCCACAACCTATAAATTGATCCGTCTCCCTAAAGGATGGTTCAGTAATAAAACTAAACACTAAGCTACAAGTCAATTAACTATTTTAGAATCGATATTTTTCTCATATTATTTTGAAAGATGCTTTGAAACACAAAATAAATGATATTTCAGAGAAAAGGATAAAACATGATAAGTACTTGATCTTAAGACTAGTTATAACTTTAGGCAGGTTTTCTCACTAACCTGACCTCTGAAATACGAAAAATAATAATATACTAATCATCTCAGTCGACTCATAAGTCGACTGAGATTATTAATATGAATCACACTAATTTATTAAATGTGAAAGTTTCATTGTTTGTTCGTCAATCACACTGAAACTACTGAACGGATATTTTGTATCCTGATTAAATCCTCCCTTGGGATAAAACAGGATTCATATTCTACGCGGACGAAGTCGCAACATCTAGTCATATTATAATTACTTACAAATAATTGAAGCTATAGAGTCGCTAATCAGATGATGATCTTATGTAGTTAAAGTTCGTAAAGCTATTAATTATAATGAACTGACGCAGATAATCTACAATGTATACTTTATAAACTACTCATCATCATCATCAACCGCTAAACAGGCACTTCCATTTAGCTTTTTCATTATCCCTATGCTTGGCATTTGGCTAGGGATTACCTACTGTTAGGTCACCGAAAATGTTGCCAAACAGTAGGTAGATATTTTTTGCCTAATCTTCAATAGATATTCTTCAGATTACTAAAAGAGATCAAAAGAGACATGTTAAACAAATGCAAGCGTCATCATCAATCAATCAGCTTCTAAAATTGAACACTAGCATATACAATAACGTCCATTACCTATGTAATAAATTCAAAACTTACAAAGTCGATAAGTTCTCCTTTTAACAACCTCGTTCCTTGTATCCGTGTCTTTGACATCATAATGCAAGATGGCGTTCATTGAAGCCGCCTGCGGGAAACGGCGCTCATTTCGCGCCAAAGACTTCGCCCGTATCGTCCAATAGAATTCCAGAACTCACGCTTACACAAATGTGAAAGAATATAACATCATTTACACTCGTCTCAACTTTAAAGTACATGTAATTTAATTCATACATTTTCCGGCTTTTCGTCATTTATAAAGAAAGATGAAATATTTATTTTCTCTTGAACTTTTTTGGGATGAATGTGGATACTGGCAAAGAATAATGTAAGGTTGATATTTTGTTTCCTTTCAAATTGTGGGTGCTTACAACTCATTGTAATGTTTTGTTAACTTTAACAAAGGTTTTTTTTGTTAAGTTAGTCGAGTGGCCTTAATTGCGATCGTTGTGTAGGTTATCTTCCTTCGAGTGAAATCACTACATAGCATAAAACAAAGTCGCTATTCGCCGCCTGTCTGTCCCTATGTATGCTTAGATCTTTGAAACTACGCAACGGATTTTGATGCGGTTTTTTGTAATAGAGTTATTTTTAAGGAAGGTTTATACGTCTAATACATGCATACTGCACCCGTGCGAAGCCGGAGCGGGTCGCTAGTAGTATAAAAGTATAATATAAAAATGATGAATAAGACTAATAACAAAACAGATGATGAAAGTCTGCCCCATTTCCTTCGGAAATCGACAGACAGATTATTTATTTGTAAGATCGAATAAAAATCTGTGAGAATTTGAGTTCATACTTCATGATTTACAAACGCTAGACAGAGAAATCATACAAACGTGTCTAATGTCAAATAGTAAGACACTCACGTCGCGTCTCTCTATCTGACGGCACGTGCGTTATTCCTTTTCTTTTATTTGCATAACAAACTTCTACAGAAATAGTTTTCTATTAGATTCCTTCACGGAATTCTGTCTACATGCAAAGTCTGTATTATGAATTATTACACTACTTCCATCTCACTACCAAATTGCTTAAATCTGGTTTAGAAGACATAGTTAAACATGCGTACCTTTTTCTTTTTTTTATGGCATAAGCCGGTAAAAGAGCAGACGGATTACCTGATGGTAAGCAATCGGCGTCGCCCATGGATACCTGGAACACCAGTGGCGTTACAAGTGCGTCACCGGCTTTTTGGGGATTAGGAGTTTGAGGATCGTTGGGGATTCAGGGATTTGGGAGATTGGGGAAGGGGAAGGTAATTGGGCCTCCGGCAACCTCACTCACACGACGAAACATAACGCAAGCGTTGCTTCACGTCGGTTTTCTGTGAGACCGTGGTATCACTCCGGTCGAGCCGACCCATTCGTGCCGAAGCATGGCTCTCCCACACTTATACTTCGAGAAATCAAAAACGTATTATAACTTTTGTGAGACATATTAAATACGCGGTGACTATCGTGCTGCTACTGTGACGCTTCTATTGTCGTGTGTCGCGAAATGCTGCTCATGAATATAAGCCTCTAGTATAGCTTGAAACTAGTCGAGTTCCTCGTCAAATAATTAACTGAGTAAGCCGGTAATCATAACAATTATATCAAATACGTGCAAAAGTATAAGTTTTGTTATAACAAGGCATTATTAGTCTTACCATTACCAAGTTACTACTTAGTAATTAGTTCTTACACTATGGATACTAAGTAATTTAGCCAATAGAAAGGCCGTATAATATCCCTCAGCCTTTTCATACACATTACACGTGCCAAGAAAACGAAATAGCACCAATGAAAACATAACATTATGTCTTACACAGAATCATTAGCTGTTCAAATACTGGTTGCTTTTGTAATATAAATGTCTACAATTAGAAACCATTACTCATATTTATAATAAAATTATAGATCTTTTGGTTCTGACTTAATTTAGTAATGAAAAAGAAGACATATTTAATAATTGATTGTTATGTAACTATGCGAATTGGGGTCTAAGTTTTTATTCTAAAGTAGTGATCATGGTAGTGCACTATTATATTAGCGTTTCTGTAACAGATAATATAGTGCAAGTTTTTTTATGATCGGCTGCCCCAAGTTAACTAACCTATCAGTGAGTTAAACCCTTTAGCATTTCGATTAAAAAACTTGCACTAGCTTCATAGATATAGGAATTTAAATAACATAACATCACGCCTTTTATCTTCGAAGGCGTAGGCGGAGGTGCACATTATGCCACTGTGCAATGTAACACACACTTTTCACTATTTATCTTATGAGTCCCATGTAATAGGGTGAGCCTATTGCCATATACCGGGCACAGTTCCAGACTCCGTGCTACTACTGAGAATTTTTAAAATACCCAGTAATACTTTGCCCGACCCGGGAATCGAACCCGACCACTCGGCGACCACTCGGCCAACGAGGCAGTCAGGAATTTAAATATCCAAACTAATAGTTATTTAGACCACACTTTGTTGACTCCATGTCTAAAAAACTAATCTTATGTCGATCATCATCACTTTGCTCTTATCCAAAGTTATTTGGGGTCGTCGGGAAATTATAAACAACCTTCTGAAATAATTCTTTATTATATCCACTGAAAAACTAAACAGCATTTTTACTGATTTGAGCTATATCTGCAGAAGTAACAAGTGTACTCTTACTTGAACCTATTTTTAAAGACAATAATGTTTTATTTTCAACTGTAATTGCTTCTGCAGTAGATGTCAAATTTCCTTGTGCGTTGTCAGCAGTAGTAGGAGCAGATTTAGGATTAGTAGTTTCATTTTCACTTCGACGTGTATTATTATTGGCGAGACCTTCATTTGGAGCTACGATGGTGTGTATGGTGCAGTTTTTGTGTCCAATATCTTAGGAAAGAAAAAAATCATTAAAACTATAAGCGGCAGACATATAAACATACAAACATAACCTCACGGCTATCTCCCATAGGATCGTCAGAGACTATGGAACGCCAATTACGATTCCTACAAATAATGTACCTCTTGCGCAAAAAAAATATGGAAAATGTGAATACAACCTATCATCTTCATTTTACAAATTCCAATTAATAAGAAAAAAAACCAAATAGGTAACGACTCCTTTTCGGAGAAGAATTTCTATCTCATTATGCCCATAATAACAAGCTTTATTTTAACATTTCTTAGCATTTTAATTTTATTGTGGGCGTCTTTTCTAAAGTATAACTTAGGCAAGACTTAAGGCTGTCAATTTAAAAATAAAATGACATCAACCCTATCAGTTTCACAGTCTGTCGAACATTTAAAAAATGTAATGGGACGAGTATTTTTTTTAATAATTTTGCCGTTAAGTTTCGAAGCCTTTAAGTCTAAGTTTTAACTAGATTCTGTTCGAACTTCAGAAAATTAAGTTTGTTGAAGATTGTGATTGTTTTTAATTCTATTAATGAGTTCAAAAGTGATTAGGTGGATAGCAAGAAGGTGACATGGTTGATAGTAATTGCTTAATCCAGGGAATGAGGCACCGAAGCACTGAACAACTCAGCCGCCGCGAAAGACACTCCAGGCATCGGGGATTATAATAAATAAAGATTTATTATTCATTTATTATTATTTACAGATGATGCTAATGCAGATACGGAGCCGCAGCAACATAATAGTGCTCGGCTCGATGTGCAGGAGTAGGAACGGGGTTGTTAGTCATTTGATGATTTTCGATCCAGGGAATACCCATCACAGATAGAAAATTCATAGTTGTAAGCCACGACAAAAATATTTGTTCATTCTTTGAGAGATTGCGATGAAAAATAACACTTATTGTAAGTAATCCCTCAAACGAATTGTTCTACAAGGTCAATGGGTGAGTGTGTGTAATCAAGTAAAAATAATCTTACCAATAAACAAGCCGTTCAGGCCAGGTATTTGAAAAGTCTCTCCAACACCTAAAGCCATTTGTACCTTCCCTATGTTGAAAATTCCATCACCTTCCAAATTAATTGATCCTTTACCTAAAATATTTTGAAATTTATTAAAGACACTAACGTTATTATAATGCTTTACAATTACTTTGTTTTTAACAGGTGTAGGTTTTACGTTGTTTCCTTTATCAAATAATTTAGACTACCCAAAATAATCTTAGCTATGACATAAGTTTCTATCTTTATAAATAACTTATATTTTACGTTTATAATGCGCTTATCTTTCTATTTCTCAATTTATTTGTTGATGTGTTTAAAAATACCTCAACTAAAAAACCGCGGGTTACTCACGTGAGTATACTGAGAAAAGCTCTCCTAGTACTCTACGCGGCTGTAGGCTGCGCGACATCGTGCTCATGAAGAAGAACCCCTCTGTTGTTCGAAATTAGTAGAGCTTTTCTTGACCCGCGATTTTTTAGTTAATTTAGTATGTCTCACGATAGTAATTATAAGAACATAAAAATATCTCATCTTATGACGTGTTGAACATCATTTACGATTTTAAGAACATAATAAAGTAGTTTCATAAACTCTTTCATATCGATAACCTCGTCACTTCGTTTCGCTTGATTTACAACAATTTTCCGGACCACTCAACTAACCCTCAGCTGCCTACTGACCTAACAAGCCACAATAAACTTTGATTAACCGTGTCAAGGTAATTTTTGGACATCACTGTGAAGATAATAAAGGGTTGATTTTCAATCTAAGATTTTTGACATACCACACATTACAAACCGAATTACGATTAAATTATATAAGAAATAAAAGAAATAGAAGAAATTATTTTAATGTCATAGTAAGACTGTTTTTATTTAATTCTTAACTGTATGTTTTTTATGGGATAAGCCACAATTTATGTTATTAGTTCCATGTAATAGGGGGTGAGGCTATTGCCATATACCGGGCCCAATTCCAGACTCCATGCTGCTACCAAATTTTTTTTTAAATAAACTCAGTAACTTTACTCTACCCGGGAATCAAACCAGAGGCCTCTTTCCCGGCAGTCGTAATCTTAGATAATAGCATAAAATTCATAATTAATCTAATCTACATCAAAGATTTCCTGATTTCTATTTTATTCCAAAACGGCTTTTATACAAACTCGAACCATCCTAAAACCACTCATTAAACTCGGATCACTCAAAAAACTCAATTATTTGAACATGTTTTAATTTTATGTTCAAGAGCTTTTCGTATTACACCAAACGCAATTAAAAGCTTACGTCATCATTAATTAAATTACTTTGTCAGCACTCATTAGTTATGGAAGAGTTGCTGTAACTGACTTAACTTTGGCGTATATTAAAAGGAAGGTGTAGATAAAATGAAACAAAATTTTCCCGCCCCATTTGAGAAATTTTACTTCCATACTGTGATCATAAATCTTCATTTCATAAAGACCGATGATACTACACATGAAGTTATTTATGACCGTACATGTATCTGTGTATACGAAAACAGAATTTGTAGAGATAGACTAAAGAGATGGAGATTGATACACTGCTAAAATCACGGTTAGACAGTTTTGTGCATTAACACGTATATATTCATTATACCTATCTCATATCCTTATACTTATTTTATAAAGCGGAAGAGTTTGTTTTTTTGTTTGTTTGTTTGAACGCGCTAATCTCCGTAACTACAAGTCTGATTTGAATAATTCTTTTTGTGTTGGATAGTGCATTCATCGAGAATGGCTATAGGCTATAAAACATTACTCTACGACCAATAGGAGGTGAGCAGAGCGTGTGAAACCGCGCGGAAGTAGCTAGTGCTAGCGTAAGACATAACTAAATAATCTATGATGGTTTTCGGCTTGACACATGTGTCACGGAATATTACTCATGAATATAACCCCGTGTTAAGGCTTGAATTCAGTCGAGTTCCTCGTAAAACAGTTACGAGAGTAATCCGAAAACCATACCATATAATACTTACTCATCATAAGAGAAAAAATCTATTACTGATCAACCTAATATAAGTCACGGTTCCTTCATAAAATTAAAATTAAGAATTACATGGTCATCCATACCAGTTCCATACTTGAGTGCCACATTAGCATCTCCAATAGCGCTGATGCCATTCACTTTAAGTTTAACATCAACATTTTCCAAAGTCCTGTTACAATTGGCATGGCCTTCAATGTCGTCCTTTTTCTTCTTTTTATCTCTTACTTCTTTGAGTTTTGATTCTAACTGTAATTCATATTTTAAATCAAAGTGGAAATATTTAGACCCTCAATATAGATGCTGATGTTGCTAAAGTAAATTTGGACGACATGCACTGGGCTGTATTGTCTCTGAGACAGAAAGCCCTTTACAAAAAATACAAAAAATAAAGAAACTGACAGAAAATAACAACACATATCATAATATCATGCCTTCTATCAGGCAGGTAGGCAGAGGTGTACATTACGGCACTTAATGCCATTATACCTCTACAATATAGCATCCACTTTTCACTATTTATATTATGAGACTGGCTCGTTGGCCGAGTGGTTGCAAGTGCGACTGCCGGGCAAGGGGTCTCGGGTTCGATTCCCGGGTCAGGCAAAGTATTACTGGGTATTTAAAAAATCTCACTCTATGAATCCCATGAAATAAGGGGTGAGCCTATTGCCATATACCGGGCACAATTCCAAACTCCGTGCTACTACTGAGTGTTTTTTTTAAAACCCAGGAATACGCGACCCGAAAATCGAACCCGAGACCCCTTGTCTGGCAGTCACACTTGCGACCACTCGGCCAATGAGGCTGTCAGAAAATAATGGAACAACTACCTATTTGGATAAAAATGGAGCTAAGATGTTACTAATACAAATGAGATATTGTTATAAATTGATTTATTGATAATCCTTAATTACAGATATTACGTCAATGTAATAGAAATAATGAACGGGAATCTCATCAAAGCTAATAAGAGTATACGAATGATAGATTTAACCTTGACCGTGGATGGTATGTATTGATTACATATGGAAGAGCAGCAATTAATAAAGATAATGTAAGGAGTATTTGGGTACAATCACAAGTTAATATTTCTAAAAGAACAAATAGTATTCGATTTTATAAAGATAGCGAAGTAAGAAGCAAGCCTTACACATTATGTTTTAAAGACGGTGAATAAGTAAATTAGGAAAAATTAGAATATAGATAGAAATATAACATCTCACCAATCCCCAAATCCCCCACAATCCTCAAACTCGTAATTCCCAAAAGGCTGGTGACGCATTTGTAACGCCTCTGGTGTTTCGGGTGTCCATGGGCGACACCGATTGCTTACCATCAGATGATCCGTCTGCTCGTTTACCGGCTTATATCATAAAAAAGGGGCTTAAATTATCCTCATAATTATTATCTACTTCTATTCTGTCGTATTTTCAAAAGTGCCATTCCATATTTTAGTGTCGTACATAACAAAAGTCATGACATAAACCAGCAATAATATCTCAAAGACATATGTAATCATTCAACGCACATTTAGCTTCACAACTTTGCTAGGTATTCAGAGGAGGCTGAGAATATCAGTATCATGTAATACAAGTACATCTCACGCCGTAGCTACATGATGTATGAGCAACCTAACAAGGTTAGTTCACGATCCCTAGCCCTCGGGCATCGGATAATTGATTTGTTTCGAACTTCGCACATTGAACGGAGCAATTGTTTGATGTGCTAAAACTCCGATCACCAATTTAGCCAAAAGTTAGAAGTGATCTCTTCAACTGAGATCGATGTTACTTCGGAGTTTCCTATATTTTTGGCTATAATTGTGTGCTCATTTTGTGCTTTGGAAATTGTTCTTGTGTAACTTTGTGTTTTAATCTTTGTCTTTTTTGGTCGTTTTCAAGTTTTTTTTTGGCATAAGCCGGTAAACGAGCAGACGGATCACCTGATGGTAAGCAATCGGCGTCGCCCATGGACACGGGACACACATGGGATTAGGAGTTTGAGGATCGTTGGGGATTCAGGGATTGTGGAGATTGGGGAAGGGGAGGGTAATTGGGCCTCCGGTAACCTCACTCACACGACGAAATACAACGCAAGCGTGGCTTCACGTCGGTTTTCTGTGAGGCCCATTCGTGCCGAAGCATGGCTCTCCCACACTCTCTCCCAGTGATTATGACTTTCAGTTTATGTCGATTTATACCTTGTACCGATTTGATTGTTAGGTTTCGTCACAATAATATTTTCGTTACGTAACCCTAATGAACTTTCTTTTTCTCTTTCAATTATTGGAGACCTGAACTAAATAATAATATAAAAATAAACTAATTACGTACCATGTTTAGTAAAATATCTTTTTGTTCTAAAAATGTTTCTTCGACTATTTCATTTCTCCGTTTAGCATTTACGGCGTGTTTCGCATGGTTGTCTCCAAGAGTAACTTCTAGAACCGCTAATATCTATGAAAATATAACAATTTCAATCATTGTATCTGCTTATACCAGGATTCTCTTGACTAGGTACAATATAAAATTATAGATTTTATAGTTCTTTTCCGATGGAGTATCCATTTCGAAACAGGTGCTTCCTGAACCACAAAACAAGAAAAAGGTCTTTCGATTTTTTAGTTTTTTTTTCACATTTCATAACATAATCTTGTTCGGTACCTATGTGTTATTCAAAGAATATTTAAACAACACACATATTGCATTAAGTTAAAAAAAAACTAATGATAATATGTATTAATTAATAGTATAGTATTTATATAGATTAATAGTAGTTATAAGCAACTTTATTGTATAATATAAGAGCGCCACTATCGCCAACAAACTGTTTGGCGATTTTTGATGTATAAGTAAATTTATGTATAATTTTTGTGAATAAATACCTTAAAAAAAAGTATTCTATTACTCGTTTATTGCAAAATCAACCAGAAATTGTTTTATTACGAAGAAATTTGTACCAACAGTATTCTGATAAGCAAATAAAACATTTCGCTAAGCAAGCGAGTTTCTCAAGCATTTCATTTACAATAAAGAAAATATTTCCAATATTTCTGCCAAGCTTTGAATACGCTGCGGAAACATAATGAAGTTTACAAATCAATTTCTTATCGAATACAAATGATTTATAAAAAGCGAAGCGGCTGGAGACCGAATGTATTGCGATTTGTACAAATCCCTTGAACAATTTATTTCATTAATTCTCATATTTTCTTTGGTATTATAAAATGTAGGTAATTCTTGTGTATCAAACATGTTTGTTGTACATAATATTATATGTATGTCTGATGAGCCACACACGAAAACTGTTTTAAAAATAAATATATATTGATGTCTAACAGAAATAAATAGTAGATACTAACTACCGAGGGACTGGAATTATAGACACCAGACTCTCGATCAATAAACACTACAATAAGACGACTTATCACATGTACAGTATACATACATATAATCTAAATGTGATCAAATATATAACTACTTAATCTCGTCGTTGTCATTCGCCAAGAGGATAAATTTTTCAACAGGTTTGATAAATGAAGATGTGAGTTTAAGGTCTACTTTTAATAATAACATAACATAACATCATGCCTTTTATCGTCGAAGGCAGAGGTGCACATTATGCCACTGTACAATGTAACAGCCACTTTTCACTATTTATGTAATGAGTCCCATTTAATAGGGGGTAAGCCTATTGCCATATACCGGACATAATTCCATACCCAGTGATACTACTGAGATTTTTTTTAAAACCCAGTAATGCTTGCCCGACCCGGGAATCGAACCTGAGACCACTGATCTTGCGATCACTCGGCCAACGAGGCAGTCTTTTATTAATAATAAAGAGGCGAAAAGTAAAATAATCATGTCGCAGAAACAAGCCAGCCTATCAACAAAATTAAACATTTTTATTAAACAAAAGGTCATCTTGAACCAGACCTTATAATTGAAGGCGAACAAAAACGCGCCAAGGTATAATTATAAAGTGATCCATCATAGGTAATTACCCACACATACACATATAACCACTGATCCTTTACCCGAAGTGACAATAAAATTATTCCTTTGAGTAACACACGACAAATTACTACACAAACTAAGCTATCAATTGGGAAAAACCCATGTGATGCCATGCCATGTGAACCCATGCTTGAGTTATGAAAAATTATAGGTAAGGAGATTGGGTAGTTTCTAGGGTATCAAAATTAAAAATCTAATTAGTCCGTCAATTAGGTAATGTAAAAATATTAGACACCTATTTCTTTATTTTCTCGTATTAAGTTGCAATACTTAGATAAAATGGCGCTATGTTTAGGAGTGGCAGGTCGTTACGTCATAACGTGCTACAAAATGTGGCACGCTGTGACGTCACACGATATTTCAAATTAATATATCGCCCAAAGTATTTAATTTTGTGGGAGAAGAAAAAATACGTGTCTAAAGTTTTAAATTAATGTACCTACCAGACGGACAATAAAATAAAATTTAGAAATCTACTTATTATTATACCATCTTCAATATATTTGGATGTAATTATTTAGTTTTTTGGGTACCTACTCATCTTCACACTTTTATATTAGAAACTAAACATAATTCGTAAACTACATTATATTTATTTATTACAATATCGGTACATAATAATCATCAGTGACTTATACCGAACAATCATTCATTATATTCGCCAACCCGCATTGAGCAAGTGTGGTGATTAATGCTCAAGCCTTCTCCATGTGAGAAGAGGCTTTGCTTAGCAGTGGGGCATTTATAAGCTGTTGATGTAGATTTCAAAATAAACAATTCCATGTGCACTAATCCAAACAATACAATACCAAAAACCAATTTTGAAAACATAGCAACAGTAGGTATAAAAACTCGAAATGAGTCATATAATGTCGACATATTGAATCGAAATATATTATTAACTTCGAACAACATAACGGTCCCAAATGAGTATAATGTTGACTTTATTTATATTCAAATTAACTTCGTTGTCCTTACGTCAATATAATACCGTATTCATTCATGTTTTGTTAACATTCATATGTAAAAATATCTGTAATAATATTGTAACAACTCCTATGTGTGTATTGGAATATTCAATATACATATACCTATGTATATATCCGTACCTATTTGTCGTAGTTTCCCTTATTTACTATTGGTCAGAAATGTCGGGGTGTTTAGTATGACAACTAATTCATTCAATGAAAAACTAATATTTGATACAAATTCTCATCATAAGAAATTGTAATCTTATCTTATACTATTATCTTATATCTTATACTCTTATACTATTTACTATTTTATAAAGCGGAAGAGTTTGTTTGTTTGCTTGTTTGAACGCGCTAATCTCCGTAACTACAGGTCTGATTTGAATAATTCTTTTTGTGTTGGATAGCTCATTTATCGAGAATGGCTATAGGCTATAAAACATCACGCTACGACCAATAGGAATGAGCAGAGCGTGTGTAACCGCGCGCAAGTAGCTAGTCTATTCAATAACTTATCAAGATTATCACTTAAACCAATTGCAAATGGTTCCAAGTTTAGAAACAAATGAATTTAGAGAACAAATACGAGAGACAATTGCCCAATCCTAAAAGACAACTGTAAGTGCATCGAATACACTTCAATGATAAACGCCGGTATAAACAATGTGTAGCAAAAACATCATTCATAGTCAAGGATAAAACCCGTAAACAAATCTCGTCGGACACTCAATCAATTTAATGGATGACTAAGGCGAAAATTCCATGAACCGAAACGCGTAAAACAAAATCGGTGATCGGTAATCGCTATGTGTTCCACACAAAGTACATGCTACATACCAGTAATGTGAATGCCAAATGTGTTCTCGCCATCGCGTTTTACTGTTGACGTGAAACGAAGCAATAAGTCCGCCAGTGCATCGGTGTTGCCAGCAAAAAGAAGGAAATTTCGCCACGCGAATCGAGACTGGCTTTTTTTGCGACAGAACTTCGTTGAACGCTCAAATCCTCTGCGATTTGGTCGGTCGATATGTGTAAAGTTGTCTTTTTTACTCTCTTTTATTTGATGAAGTCTCTTGTTCATGTAGGAACATGGTATAACTATATCTTTACAATTTGGAACTATTGATTAAACGTACACGTATGTATATTATTTAATCAATAGTTCTCTATTTACTACACTACATCTAAAAATCGTTCAGAAACAATTTTGTAATTTTAATACAAGACCTCTAACAAAGACCTTTAAAAGTTTAAATAACTCTTCATTATATCATACTTGACTGCACGGTTCGTGCGGTGGCTGGGCAACCGGCTGCTGTGCAACGTGTCGCGGGTTCGATTATATACCTCTACACAGACCAACTCTTTTTGTGATCCACAAATTGTTGTTTCGGGCCTGGGTGTCATTGTGTATGTGAACTTGTATGTTTGTAAACGCACCCACGACACAGGAGAAAATCCTAATGCCAACGTTTTTTAAAGGGAAAAAAATAATTTTTTTACCAAAAGTCACGTAAATTTAACAACTCTAGCAACACAAAACGTGCGAATCTTTACGATCAGTTTCAGAAATCGATGTTTATAAATAAATACAATTTAGGCGCATTTTATAGCTTGCATACGTCGATACCGAAATGCGTTTCGATCAAAATAGGAATAAACATAACGACACTTCACTTTGTAGGCATATTATACCTTCCACAGAGTTTCCTTGCCCACAGGAAATGAATAAAAACTAGAAATGGAAAAATTGTTTGATTTTGTACATTTGTAGTTTTGTAATTTTAGTAACTTGAAGCTAGCGGAAGATTTGCCTTGAACAATTTTCTGTCGGTAGTTAAAGGGACTGGGATGAATTCTTTGGTTGTCTATAAAAGCCATCCATTTTATCACATCTTGTAATATAAAATATACCCCAAAAATAGGAGAAATATACTCTAATTATATTCTTTACAAAACAAACAAACCAGTTTAATTAAGCATTTATTTCAATTAAATTAAGTATGAATAAATATATACAACTTAAAACTATACAATTGTACAGAATTAACTTGGAGATATTCTTGTGAACCCAAACCTCAGACTTATTTACAACGACATTTATGAAGATATATTTGAAACATAATTGTAATATATGTATGTACAAACAAGGCGAATACTAGTAGGTTCCTAGAATTTATGTTATTATACTTAGAACACAGGAAACTTCGTCAGCTAACTTCCGTTACATATTAGATTGAACCTAAACTACTATACAGTACACAGCAAAGGAGCCTTAAATCTATTTAACCATTTTGTTTTCTTTCAGCCTCCATATACTACATGTATTGCACGTGCAGTTTATAAAACCGTCTGCTTGTAATATAACCATAGAAAAATATCTTTTGTATAGCCATAACGGTGCAAAGCCGCAATCGCAGTGGCCAAGGTTATGGCAAAATATAATACATCATTCATTATGTCATCACCACAAATTACCCATGTATCTATTGGGCTGAATAAGGGGTTTATTCGACAGAGACCGGCCAGTACCACCATCTGATACTCTTTCTCCAAACCAACAGCCAAGAGTGAAGATAATAACTCCCTCCTACGTTGACAAGGTCAGCAGTGAACTGTCAAGGTTACTGATGGAACACATATTCGAATAAAAGGGCTCAATCTAATTGTATTCGATATGGCATGGTACACCTCCCAGAAAAGTTAAAGAGGTATGTCAAAATGGGTTACGTCATACCAGTCTGGTTCCGCTTCTTACGCGAAAAAGAACAGATATACTAGATATTATGGCGAATTTTGAAAACTAGCGAACTCAATAATAAATCCTACCGATACCCAAAGATAGAAAAAAATATATATTACATCATGTTATGATATACATAATTGAAATTGTTTGTATAATGAGCGTCTCTCGCCATCAAATGTCAAAGTTTGGCGAGTTTAAATGTAACTATGTAGAATTTCAATGAATAAATTTGTTAATAAAAAATAAATACATATTCGTAGTTGTCATTCTACTTATGAAGTCCGGCCGTTGTCCTCAAAACATCTCAAACTCAGTCAACAAAGACAGATAAATCATGGATCTGTTTAAAAGATTCACAAAAGATGTCTATTCCCAATATCATCACAAGACCTCCAGTATCATCATTCATAATCTCGATCCATTCAACAATTTGCCAACAACAAGTTCCTATTTCTCAATCGTAACAATAAAATTGAAAACAAATAAAACCGAATTGAAAAGTTGCGAAACAAAAAGAATTTGATTTGAAGCGAATTTCAATCAATTCGTTATTGCTCTCAGAGTGGTACAACGGTAAGCAGGCTTATCTTCAATAATTTATTCATTCCGAGCTTTTTTCTTAAATCTATTCATTGCTTTAATTAAAACCTTTTTATAATATACTAGCGGACCCAACAAACGTTGTCCTGCATATCCACTTGAATGTATAAACAAAAATTCATTCAAATTAGTTCAGCTGTTTAGGAAAAATAACCTAAACATGGACTGCAGCGCCATCTGCCGAGCTGATTTGTGAATCTAAACCATTCCCAGATCCCCTTGAACACACACAAAAAATGTCATCAAAATTGGTCCATTCGTTTGAGAGAAGTTCAGTGACATACACACTCACAGAAGAATTATATGTATAAAGACTAGCTTCTGTTCGCATTCCCGTCACATAAAAATAGTCCATATATTAATCAAGACCATAATCTACCATTTCGTAATTTCATCCCTACCCCTTCAGTCGTTTGAACATTAATGAGTAACAAACATACACACATGAGTATGTAGAGGTATGTTACTCATTTGTAATATCAAAAAGGTTTTATACCGATTTCATCCAAATAATTAAGTCATTTTTCAATTAGCCACGGTAGCAGTTTTCGTCAGTATCTAAAAATAATTGAATATGACTAAGCGAGTCATATTTATATCTGTGCAATTAGAACCTAATCCATTAAGGCATTTGCTTACGCTAATAGGAAAAGGAAATGGTTGTTGAGTACAAACAATTAAGCAGTATGAATAGACTATTCGCGTTCCAACTGGCAAAGTGGAGTTACAGAAATTATATTACTCAAAGACAACGTTCATTTTACATTCGTAGTGATTTATGTTCGGTAATTTCTGATAACCAATAATAACATGCCATTATTTGATACTTAAATCAATTTTCATTACCATAGTTTTGTCATTAAATCAAATAGATACTCAAATCAGGATCTATTCACGAAGCTATATTTTATTGCCGACAATAAATATACAAGGACCATAAAATATGACTGAAACTATTTTATTTATTCGCAGAAAATGTTCTCACATGCGTTGGCTGTGTTCGTGGGGTGTCTGGCAGCCGTCTCCTCGAGGGAGACGATCCGACCGATGCCCACTATAACCAGCTCCCTCGTGAATCTCGGAAAAATGGATATCTCATTCTATTTTAACGGTAACGGTGAGATTATAAGGATAAAACTGAGCACAAATCATACCTCTATAAATATATTACACTCAAAAGATTACAATTCATATTTTAGTATTTGATCGGGGCTAAAAGAAAATGTTTGTCATTTATTAAATAATCCGGATAAGATGGATATATACTTACGTGATAATTTGCTTTCAGATCCGTCTCACCGTACGCCAGATCGCGGGCAAATGACGCCGGCAGCTCCTGCACCTATCCTCCCAAAAACTGAATACTTCATTGAGGAACCATGTCCTTGTTCCAGCATGCGAAATGCCAAAGAGTCTTTCTTAACCAATCCAAGTGGTCTTATTAACAAAATTCTCTCTAAAAACGATCTGTTCTCGTTCAACAAAGATCCATTATCTTCTACGTTGTGTTGTGAATCTCACGAGCATATAACTCAAGAAGGAACTGTCATCTTAGAGTTTCCTGCCAACCAGAAACCTATGAAACCAGTTCCAACGTCAAGGTCCTCAAATCCTTTACCCATGATGCCCTTTCTTTTCGACAGTATAATCCCAAACAAGTCCATGTTGCCTCCTCTGAAAACTAAAGCAATTGAAATCTTCTTGTTCCCTAAGAAGAAAGATTTGTCTAATGTTATAAATACCTTCGACATGGCGAACTTCCCTAAGAAGAAGGAGACCGTGTCCAAGGAAGGTATCACAGTGGTTGGTGATAAAAAACTAGAGAACAATATTGACTTATTCACACCACCACCTCCATCACCACCAGTGAAGAAGGACTTGAGCGCCCAAGAGATGACTACTAAGGTAGTGGAGCCAACTGATGACGCCGAGAAGATAATAATAGAGCCTGCTAACAAGCCTAATACAGTGTAAATGAGAATGTAGTAAATAAAAAATAACGAGAATTTATAAGTTGTTTCCAATTTTTAGCCGACTAAATTCACCGAAATATCAGTGAGCTTATTGAATTTGAATCTTAGGATTTAAAGATATTTAGAACACACCTGATAAAATCATGACAAATCAATAGAAAATAATATTTTTGTCACAATAATGTTTATTCAATCACATCCTAGATGACTAGTCATCTAGATAGGCTTCCATGTCAAACTCCAGTTTCAATGAGATCGTTGATTTGTAATTAAAACTAAGTACCTATCAATATCGGTGTAGTTCTCTTTACTACTTTTCATGTTCGTGATGAGATAATTTTCACATGGAAACAGCGACTCATGCTTTCACGAAGAGATCAAATGTTACTAACGAGGCAAAAAAACACAACATGTTTGTTTCCACGGAAAATCGGTACATTATCATTTTTCATCAATTGTACCCACACCGTAACTTCCTAAGTTCAGCAACTGCGTTTATAAAGATATTATAGTATCACTTATGGGTTTTATGCCATGCCGTTAGTAGCAGG